TTCCAACAGTTTCTCTTATGTGTGTAAAGAAACAGACTTAAATCAGGAATCCGTTTGCTTGGGATGTTCATTCAGGTTCACAAAAAGCAAAATAAAATAACAACAAATACCCCAGATGAGGCTGGAAATCTTTACAATGCTTTTATGTTTAGGAATATAGCACAAAATATGGCAGGACGATTTTAGAAATGGTCACATATGTGTATTAAAAGGGGGTAAAAAAGCTACAGAAATATTAATGTTCTTGGTATATTCCAACATTTCTCTTATGTGTATAAAGAAACAGACTTAAATCAGGAATCCGCTTGCTTGGGATGTTCATTCAGGTGCACAAAAAGCAAAGTAAAATGACAACAAATACCACAGATGAGGCTGTAAATCTTTACAATGCTTTTCTGTATAAAGAAACAGACTTAAATCTGTAAAAAGCAGTGGACCTAATTAAGCAGAACGTGTGTGGACGAGGCTTGCCTACAATTACAGTTGTAATCGTGGACTCACGGATGCCTGATGAGCCAAATCAGTTTGTACTTGTTGCAAAACAATTTGCATTTTGTCTGTTTTATAAACAAACAGGTTATTAGATGGCACACCTTCACATCATCGACAACTTAACAACCACCGCCGGCTGAAGTGATTGACACGGATCATGCTACAGAGCAAGAGCACCTCCCTCAGACAGGACACCATCCACTGCCACCTCGAGGAACACGATAAAGATCGCCAGGTGTTGACCCGGCCCCCCTAAACTCACCAAATCAGACCGGACGTCCGTGAGATGTGGCGTCACAAACCTGATCTACGAACGCACTTCAGGAAATCGCCGAAAGTCCCACGTTCATCCTTCAATGTGTCAGAGGTGAAGCAAGAAGGGAAACTACACCACACTCAGCAGGTGGCTTGTCTTTGTTCAGCTGGCACAATAACAAAAAATATCAGGAAGCAAATGCTAAAAAAACAAATTAAACAGAAATGAAAAATCTGAAGCAGAAAGCTGGTATAACTGACATTATATAATCAGTGGGAAGCTACAGTTTACATAAAATGTGCTTGAAGTTCAGTTTGTCACTGGAAAAACAAGCTCTATTGTCAGAAAACTTTCTCTATTTCTAACTGTGATCTACACAAATTAAGATTTTGAGGCAATATTCACCCTTTAACCAACATTTTAGTCGCATTGATCCTTTTTGTTTCATGATGTAATTTGACACACAATCAAAACTGGGACGGATTAAAGCTAGAAGTCATTCATTGTTGTAAAAGAGGAGTGTAGCTGCGTCAGATTATACATCAGCACGTCGGGCGAGACAGGTTAGAAACCAATAAATAAATAAATAAATAAATATCAGGACTGGATTGTTTTTGTAATGCTGCTCAACCAGTCAGCTGTTCGATTACGGGAAACCGTAAAACCGTTCAGCGCGCCCGCGTGTGAAACGACTTTCACGGAAATGCAAAATCTGTCGGCTTGGAAACGGCTCAAGTTAGACAAACGATAAATTACGTGCGGTTCTGGAGCTACACATAAAACAACAACAACACACCCTCTTTTTTTTTTTTCTGATCAGCAGCTGCTAATCGGTTTATCTTACATCTCAACGAATCTGCAGCACAGCTTAGGCCTCAAAATCACAACATGCAAATTCACTGCAACGAAAGGAGGAGATCAGTTTCACCTCCCCTCCAGACAACGTAAACTCCATACGATGACTGTTGAGGTATTTGACGGAAGCTCATGCGTCACCGAGGCCTGCAGGTTATCTGGCACGGTCGCCGAGTTGCGACATTAGTCATGAATTGCTCAGCGTGTGTGGGTGCGCTCCTGTCCAGACTTGCGCTCCACACCCAGTTCAGGTTCATTGCTGTTACTGTTAAGACTGGAATTCTTTTTTTTTTTAACAATATTAGCTCAGGAAGAACCGCGAGGCAAATGTGGCTTTCACGAGCGTGCAGCTTTCACTGGCCAGACACTGATTCAGAATTCAGATTAGTCTCACAGATGAGTGAGGAAGTCAAGTCGCTGATATTCATTTATTTAGAGGCAAATGATTTGAATATAGTCCCCAAGGTCAAACATTTAACTCCTTATCATCCCTCTGTGTGCGTTGCCAGTTTTGATGGATGCCATAATGTGGGAGAGAAAGCCTGAGATGTAACTACAAAAACCTCACCGTGTGCTTCATCCGTCTTCGGACTTCAGTGGTTTCTCAGCCTACACGAGGTGAATCAATACTGACCGACTTCTCATTTTGGGTCGAGCTGTTCCTTTACATTTTAAGATGTTTGGACCCGGAGCAGTTTTTCTCTTCGGTTGAACTTTTTTTTTTATTTTCATTTTTTCAAAAGCAGGCCTTGATATGTAATATTTGGCCTCTGGTGCTGTGAGGGTTTTTCTTCAAAAAAAAATAAAAAAAATTCAAGTGCATTTATATCTTGAAAAGCAAAAAGCCTGGATTTCGAAAACATGGTCTGAACACAAGCACCGTCGGCCAAATGTCTCATACATGAGGGAGGAATTTTAGCATTCATATGTTTTTCTTTCTTTTCCTCAAGTGACACCCTCTTGCTCGGGCTCAGAATTGCTCAGTCTTGGAACATGAAATAGATTTTTGTCCGGATAATAACACGCATATGAATGAATAAACACTTACAAGGCAGCGGCAAAGGGGTCTTTCAAGGGCACGTCTGGCGGCCTGTGCGGACCAATTAGCAGCCATCCTCCTCATCCTTCCCTCCTCGCCGTTATCTCATGTTTCATGGCAGCCACCATTGTTCCTGTCTCCTAAATCCCAAGACGCCGGCGCTGCAGTTCTCACATTTATTACCGCCGCTGATAAGCGAGAGAAAATAGCCTTTATCACCTGCATTCTGCTGTGGACAAATATCCACTCCCGCTTCTCATATTTCTGCATCACGTTCACAAAAGCTTGAAGTAAAGTTTTTTTTTTTGGGGCGTGGGCAAACAGTACTATTTATTGCTTCACTAGCATCCAATTTTGCCGGTACTAATGAGATGTGAAAAGGATTTATAAACCCAAACAGAAAGGGAGATTAATGGTTCGACCGCAGTGAAAATATTACATTTGCTGGATGATTTTTTTTTGTAGAGTTAACGCATCATTGTTCGTGCCAATCACCTTCAGTATTCTTCAGTTTTAGAAATTTCACTTCTGTGCATCTTGTGTGTTTTACTCTGAATCACAAACACACATTTCTGTTTTTCTATCTATTCTCTTTTCCATTTTTAAAAATTATTTTATTTTTTAATTTTATTGATTTCATTGTTATTTTATTCTCTTTAACCCTTTATTTATTTACTTATTTACATATTTGTTTTACTTATTTACTATGATTATTTTTAGCCTTTGTTTATGGTTTTACCCTCTATTTTCCTTTAACTCCACCTGTTCTGTCCCTTTCTTGGATTTGGGATTTTATTATTTTTATCTGTTGTTGTTGTACTAATTTATTTAGAACTTTTTTTTTTCTTTACCATGTTTGGCCATACGTGGAAGGTGGCTCGGTGGTTAGCATCGTTGCCTCACAGCTAGAAGGTCGCCGGTTTGCGTCCCGGTGAGGACACCCGGGATCTTTCTGTGTGGAGTCTCCATGTTCTCCCCGTGCAGCGTGGGTTCTCTCCGGGTTCTCCGGCTTCCTCCCAAAAGGTCCAGAAACATGCTGAGGTTAATTGGTGATTCTAAATTGTCCGTAGGTGTGAATGTGAGTGTGCTTGGTTGTCTGTCTCTAAGTGTAGCCCTGTGATAGACTGGTTACCTGTCCAGGTGAACCTGCCTTCACCCTGAGTCAGCTGGGATAGACTCCAGCCCCCCATGACCCCAGTGAGGATTAAGATACTGAATGGACGGATGTTTGGACTTGTGTTGTTCAATGTTCTTCCTGAGTGTCCTTCTTTGCTGCTTTGTCTGTAAAGCACTTTTTAAGCTCTGTTTCTAAAAGGTGCTCTAAAAATGAAGTTATTCTTCTTATTGTTTATCATTATAAGTCACTGAAGTGGTTTGTCTGTATTTGTATTCGTCCAAGTTCTAAAATGAAGGCAACAGGGCTTCCTCGAGTTTTGTAAAGATTGACCACGCCTTATCTAAAAACT